TTTAGTCTTTGCAACTTTAGGGATCTTATCTATGCACGAACAGCTTGTAACACTCCAAAGAGAAAGGAAAACTCATATGACCCCTTAAAAAAAAAAAAAAAACTAAGAAAAATTATAAAAAAAATAATATAAAAATAAAAACGAATTTGAACTATTAATAAAATTAAAAAATAGTTATATATATATATATATTTTTTTTTTTTTTTAAATTGGTTACTTCAGAGACTAGATGTTTCATTTCAATCATGATGCACAACACTGAAGTACACATCCAACATGTCCATTATCACCAATAAACAATGTAAAAAAAATCCCTCTTTTACAGGATGCTGACTTTTTGGCCATGACAAACATCCATCATAACCCCAAAGACTCTCTGTCAGGTCTGGCCGTTATGGACTCCAACCCGAAGCAGAGCCATGGGACACGGTCCTCACCAGACTCCAGCATCACGTACCACTTCACAAACAGCCATACTCTTCCTCTGACACGACAGCAGTCCAGATCCCTGCTTCCAGACACCACAGCAGCTCTGGAGCTCCACAGACCGCCGTCTGATCCAGGACTGCACTGACCCTCTCCTCTACCGTATGGAAAGTCCAGGACGTCCCACGGCTCTTCCAGACCTACTTGGAAGCATAAAGGACATTTTAAAACAGGCATTGGCCAAATCTTTAACACTAATGCGACTTAGGATTCACCACTGGCTCTCGCCTGTACATTTGCTTCCTCTTCCTTCTCCTGCGTTACGCTCCTTGATGCTGTCGAGGACAATTTGGAACGGATTCCTGGTCAACACTTCCATTTTCAGGAAGTCAATCTCTTAAAGACATTTCTTGGAGTGTCTTGGACACTTTTCCACATACTCTGTGTTCTGCACACTTTTACACTGGTGTAAGACTCAGGACATTGATGGTGGTTAATTTATCATACTGGCAGAATCTCTTCCCTGTTTCATCATTATGAATCTAAATTATAATAATGGCATTTTACACTTCCATTTGCAGAACCCTGTGGAATTACCTAATTACATACAGTGTGGTCCACTATTTTATTTTATTGCATTATTTTCTAATTTAATACAATGTTTTTCACTACAGTTAAACAGTATGTTATACAAAATATTTGAATATATGTTTAAAAAATATATATTAATTTGACAAAAATAGCATTTCAGTTGACAATATTATAAAAAAAACTGCATGTCAAAATGTAACAAACCAAAATTGCCATACACAAGAAAAAAATTAATAAATACATATAAATATACATTTTTATTCATTCAGAATGTAGTAAATTTATTTTATATCAAAGTTTCATGTAAATTAAAAAAATGGAAAATTTAAATTTTCCAATGAGCTTTGGGTTTTGGATCCCACTAGTGAAAATTATTGTTTATATTTATATTATTATAATTATGAATTATAATATTTTTATTTATAATTATATTTATTTTTTATTTATATATATATATCTTTTGCATTATTTTCTAATTTAGCAAATTTTTCACTAGAATTAAACATGTTACACAAAATATTTTGGACAAAAAAATTAATTTGACAAAAATAACATATCAGTTAACAAACTCATGAAAAATAATGCAAATATATA